AAATTTTTTTTTTTTTTTTTTTTTTTTTTTTTTCAATGTCCAGAGGCCCAGATTGAACTTTTTTAGATTTTTCTACCTGGATTATTGAGCATGCATCAGGAAACTCACAGGATAAATAAGTGGGTTAATGAGTCAACAATTGTTTTAGAGTGACTGTACCAACAACTTATAAGTCTGCACCTCTCAAGCCACAATCAGAAATGAAGAAGCTTTATGGACATGAAGTGAAACATCTTTAATAGATAAAAACACATCCAGATGCCTTCTATTAAACGTTTGAACTGTAATGACCATTTTCTTCAGTTTCATAAGTAATCCCTCTCTCCACATTGTATCAGCATTTTCTATGTCAAAAAACAGCTACAACACTTTCATTGATTGAGTTCACGTTTAAGACACAAGACTGGATCCATCGTGTTTTTTCATTTTTTAAAACCACTTTGAAAAATGTGACATATATCCTCTCTTCTCTACGATGTCAATTTTCCATTTATAATTTTTGCCATAGTTTAGCAAATATTAGACGTTAAAGCAACTGGTCTATAGTTCCCTGGCTTTATATAACTTTTCATTTTAGTATTATGGCTTCCTTACAAGACTGTTAATTTTCCCCTTCTTCTCAAATTATATTAAATCATTTTAAAAGCATGTATTTTGATGACTCACTGAGATGTTTTATCATTATACAACATATCTGATTTTTTTTCTGTTGCAGATATTTCCCATTTTTGAAGTGTTTGATTTAATTTAGTTTTGTTGAACGGTATATTTATTAAATCATTTTCACTTTCCTCTTCTTCTAATCAGTGCCCTGAGACGACTTCTGAAGTGACTTGGCGCTATATAAATAAACTGAATTGAATTGAATTCTAATAACTCTCTATTCTCTATCATCTTTCTCTCTTTTCTTCTTTTTGTTTCCTCACAAATATTATTTGAACTATGAATAAAAGTTTAAGCCATTATTTCTACTTTTTTCTTATTTCTAACCGCAGTTACTTCCAAGTCATGCAGAACTGCGTATCCATACTTTGTCTTATCCCATTCATTCATTTAATCGTCAACCAAAAGTTTCTCATTTTTGTTTGTCTTCCAACTGAATACAACCCCCTCCAAAATTCTCTTTTTGTATTTTTGATGGTTCTTACAACGCTTTGAAACCTTTTATATTTAATACAATTCTGAATGTTATTATTAATTTTTTGAAATAAAAGCTTTATTTCTATACTTAATTGCATTTTCAAATTAATTTGTCCTCTTTATCCAATTGTTACCTCTTTTTTTCTTTATGGACTTGTTTTCTTCTTCTCCAATTTTTTGTCTCCCCCTTTCTGCTGCTCCCTTCTTCAGGGGTCGCCACAGTGAACTAACATGCACAAAGACTTGGCACTTATTTTTACGCTGGATGTCCTTCCTGAAACAACTACAGAACACCGAGCTACCACAGCCCTCCGTGTGGAGCAGAGAGCTGCTATCTAGGGCACCTGGGGGGGTCAGATGATGGGGGCTAAGGGCCTTGCTCAAGGACCCAGAGTGGGGTAAATGAGGGTGGAGGCAGGTGTGAGTGCTTCACTTATCCCACTCACATTTTGATCTTGCCAATCTGGGTGGTCGAACCGGCAACCTTCTGATTACAGGCTCTCCTTCTCTAACCACTGTGCCACCACTCCCCCTTGCTGCTTCTACAACATGAACAAATTAACATGTTTAACTGATCAATATCCATATTTAAATCTATATTTACAATTTCTCTGTTACTCACACTCAAAACTGTTGCCCAATCAGAGTTAGTGAAACTCCCATCTCTGTGCTCCCCTTGTGTATTCCTAAATCCAGTTTGGTTATTATGGGATAGTGGTCACGGCCTGTTGTCATGTATTTAAGAACATGCCTGATTCCTGCAAAGACTCTGAACTACTGTAAGATCTATTGCTGATTCTTTACCTGTTATATTAACTTTTGTACTTCCACTGTTCAAACAGACCAGAATTTCATTACTCACAATTTATTCATTTATTAAACCATTGTGATCATTATAATTATTCCATAACATATTATGTACATTAAAATCACCATAGCAAATTACTTTCCTATTTAAATGTGAAACAAGCTTATCTAGAGTTTCTGTTGACAATATTTTACTTGAATGCAGCTTAACTGAAAAACTTTAAAAACAATTAAACAAATATATAAACAAATAAAAATTACTTTGTGCTCAGACTACATTGTGGCTGTAAAGCATAAAAAATTACTTTTCCTTCCTTTTTTTTAACAGAAATATAGATTAATAAAGCTTAACTATTCAAAATTCAACTCAATATATGAGATGAGCAAAATATATTTATATGGTATGCTGAACACTTCAGTATATCTAAGAAAAACCTTGTTAACAAATATAAAATAGAGTTGAACTTATTGTTGTAGAAGAAGAATTCATAGCTGAACTTGTATTGCACTCATCACAGAGTGTAAACGAGATTGAGAGGAAGTCAATTTACACGAAAGCATCAAAACGTCAGTTACAAAAAAAAAGACGTCCTTGAATCATGCTGAAGAGAAAGTGAACTGCAGTCCATGCCCTTATCTTAAAAAACAGACGTGGTTTGCCACGCCTCACATAAACGCTTAAAGTCTGCTGTCTTATTTCGTTAGATGACGAATGAGACCAGGCATGTTTTTGTTTCCCCTGAGGCTTCATCCAAGAAAAAGGTAACAATTTGGTAAAAAGTTTTTTTTTTCTCGTATTTTTATTTTATTAGTCTATCAGGAGTCTAATATTTAAATATTAAATTACAATGTAAAAAGAGGTTTTAGTTTGCTCTATTGTAAAAATTACATTTGGTAACAAAGTATTTATTTATTTTATAGTGACGGAAGATGTCATCCATAGAGATCATCATTCTCTTTCTGTCTATGCTGCTTGACTTCTCATTGGCTCAGACTGAAAAAATAAAAGAGAACCAGGAGGTTTTTAGCAAATCTGCAACAGAAATCCCACGCTCTCTGAGACCTGGCGTGACAGAAGTGTTTTTTGTGGACAGCCAGATTCAAACAATACCCAAAGGAGCCTTTACTGAAAACCCACAGCTCGAGAAGGTGGAGTTCATGGGCACAAACACCACATCCATTCAAGTGGGAGCTTTCGAAGGTTTGGTAAACCTCAAGAGAATTGAGATCTCCAACAATCCATTAGCGTCCGTTACAGTGGGAACCTTTAAGGACGTCATGAATCTGGAGACTCTTATTCTGAAATTCAACAAGCTTCAAAGCATTCAGAAAGGTTTGTTTGAAAGTCTTAGCAACTTAGAAGATCTACAGTTACATGGAAATGAGATTGAACTTATTGAAGATCACACATTTGATGATCTTGTCAACCTTCAAAAGCTTAACCTGGGCAAAAACAATCTTACGGCCGTATCGGCAAACTGGTTCTCCAATCTGAGAAAACTGAAGACATTTCGACTTTATGAAAATGAACTGAGCACCGTTCCTGAAGATCTGTTTGAAAAATTACCAAACCTAGAGGAAATCGTTTTACAAGGAAACAAAATACACGAATTGCCACCTAATCTGTTTCCACATAAAGACAAAGTGAGCAAACTGTTTTTGGAAAATAACTTTCTGACTAGTTTACCAGATAAATACTTTACTGACTTCACAAAGCTTAAAATACTGACCTTAAAAAACAACCAATTGACAAGTCTGCCACCGGTCCTTTTTGGAGAAATGTTAAAACTGACGGAGCTTAGCCTTCAACAAAACAATCTCAGCGCTCTTCCTAAAGGAATATTCAGTCCGCTGAAGAAACTCAAGAAGCTAGATCTCTCTAAAAATCACTTTGTGACCTTGTCGACGGATTACTTTGATGGCCTGGAGAAGATCACAGAGTTAAATCTACAGAACAACAAACTACAGACACTGGATGCACACATGTTTGAAAACCTACAGTCAGTCAGCACACTCAAGCTCGCCTACAACAATATTGAGAGACTTGCTGCAGATGTTTTTGAGCCTTTAGATAAACTTAGAAAACTTGACCTGAGTTACAACCCCTGGAACTGCGACTGTAAGCTGAAGGATTTTTATCAGTGGATGACGTTGAACACTGACAAGCTCTCATCTGAGGTGACCTGTGAGTATCCAGAACATCTGAAAGGAACTGAAATCATATCTTTAACAGATGACCAGTTAATCTGCCCCACCCTTCCGCCCACAACCACAACACCAACAACCACCACCAGCACCACACTTCCTCCTACAACACCAACCACCACACAACTAATCACCACCATCCCTACAACCACCACAGCAGCAACTACTTTACCCACAACTGCATCCACCACCACAACCCAAACAACCACACCCACAACTACGAGCACTATGACAACACTCCCTTCCACAACCACAACTATGAGCACAACTACGAGCACGACACCCATTATGACAACCATTCCAAGCACTACCATTGCCACTACAACTCTACTCACAACCACAACACCAACAACCACACCCTTCATCACAACAACGACCATACTTACAACCACACTCACAACTACAATACCAACAACAACACTCACAACTATGATACCAACAACAATCACAACTACGATACCAACAACAACAACAACCACACTCACAACTACAATACCAACAACAACACTCACAACTACAATACCAACAAC